CCACAGCTCTCTATTGCTTGCTTAAACCATATATATATATATATATTTTTTTTTTTTATTTTTTAACCCCTGAAATGTGAATTTAGGATGCCTCATATGTCATCATTCACAACTTTGCTGCTAGATTCTTTCTGAGTTGTGTTATAACTTGTATAGTTGAAAAGGGGTTGTTCTTTGTCGTTGATGGTTCTTAACTTGAATGTGGCGCAGAGAGCCTGGGAAAATTTGAAATTAACTTTTAATTGGAGGGTGGAATCATCATTTCAAACCCTCCAATTGAAAGTTCATTGGAGGGTTTGATACAATGCAAGTTTGGATAGGGAGCAAATACAGAGACAATTTCAAAACAACAAGCTCACTATCTTAATCTGATAAGCCTCGGGTTCAATGACAAACCATATGCTATACCATGAAACACAACATTTAGAGAAGCGGAACACAAAGCTCTTAAAAGACGACAAAAAGAACTAAAATACTAAAGAGTTGCTAACCCAAACCACAAGAAATTAAGGTAATGGGAATTGTACAAAAAGCGACACCACACTATCGTTTGAAATGCTACTGAATCAGAACCTCAAACATTTTTCATATGATAACAAATTTAATTTCAGGTTTGTGATGTATAATACATAAAAAAGGATATGACGTGCTTGATTCTGTGGTTGTTTAGAAACTAGCTTAACTTTAGGTTTGCTATTATTCCTTTAATCTAGCTCACTACCCAATTTCCTGCATTTTACTGCTCCTTTAGGCATTGAAATGTATTTCCAGTGTAGAGGTAGCCCAAAAAAAAAAAAAAAAAAAAAAAGAAATGTAAGTCCTGGTTGAATCATCACCACCCTCTCACTTCACAAACCTAAACCATTGAAAGAATTGGTAAAATGAGTTCGTTGATCCTTTTGGCCTTGTCATTAAAGTGTCGCTATAGAATGCGAATATCATGCAAGCAAAAGATTAATACGCTGAAGAAGATGTGGAAACATTTCCTCTGAATTCTTTCCCGTGGTATCTTGAAAGCTATTCCTTTTAGCATAGGAAGCAAAATTGTATCAAGTTGATGTTCTTGTGACTTCACGGCTTAAGATATATGGTTTTTGCGTAACTCTTAATCGTCAAAATAATCCTCTAGATGGAAGATGTGGAAGTTGATGCTAGTTACGTGATGTTTTATTACTGGGAACCCAATTCTGAACTAGAAACTCTAAATTGGTATTTTCATTATATGTGATTGTTTATAATCTTTCTAAACAATATAACTTCCAAAAGATCTAATAAAGCCGAATGCAAAAATTCATTGGTTCATATATATATATGAACTAATGAATTTTTGCATTCGGCTTTATTAGATATTACTCGTGTTCCTATTTTGCAGTCTGTTTGGGATATAACTGAATTTCCTTGCATGTCCAGTGAGGATAAAATTTTAATGAGAGCCTTGGAGGACAATTCACTTTAAATTACTCCAAACAAATTTAAGTATATTGTAAACATACAAACAACATACAAGAAATATCGTTCTTGTATGTATATTTATGTATATTCGAGTTGTCCTATTTTGTGGTTGTACTTGTTTATATTCTTCTCTACAAGATGATTTACATTGTGTCATTGTCAATGATCAGAATTTTACCATTATACAACTAGAGTTACTCTTAGTAGTGGAATACAGAAACTCCACATTTTCTATAGGTTTTCGTATTCTTCATGTGTCTTGTTTGCAACTAAGAACTCATTTAATCCCTCTCTTATTGCAGCTAAAGCCATACGTCTCACATGATATAATTAATTAGATAAGTAAAAATTGGACTGAACATTTAAGTAAAAAATGTTGTCCCACTCTCACTACCTAGTCTCCCTTTGGCCGTGTTTAGAATTGATCCCGTTTTTTATTTTTCACGTTTTTTGAGAAAAAAATGAAAACGTTTTCAAAACGGCGTTTGGCATAATAAAGACAAAAACGGAAATGAAAACGATTTTTAATTTAGTGTAAAATAAGAAAAATGAAAAACGATTTTTATTTTTTGTTTTTATTTTTTCTACTCTCAAGTAAGGAGAGATATTAATAAGTTTTTTTATATTCAAAATAATCTCTTGATAAAACGATTAAACATATTTTTAAAAATAATTTTTATCTGAGATTAAGATTGTTTAGTTCGTTGATTCGAGTTTTTAATTTGAGTTGAGATGTGACTTTATGTGAGAATTTTTTACTGTAACAAAAAAGTTAGATATGATTATTTTTGAGAATTTTTTACTATAGTAAAGCTTAAATTCTAAACTCGAATCGGTGAAATAAATGTTGCTTAAAAACATTTTTAATTTTATTTTTATACAAAAAATAAAATCATTTTAAAATAAATTTTAAACTGCCGTTTGTGTTTTTGTTTTTTCCCCCTTATGTGGTCAAAGCCAAAATCAACATAGGGAAATGGGATCCTAGCTAACCTCCCAGCAGTATGAAACGTTGTTTTGTACTTTTGTTAACTGTTTCATCAAGAGACAATGAACCAAGGAATAGGGCCCATAGAGTAGGTAGGTCCCACCACATTGATCCGCTAATCCCGGTCGTCCGATAAAGCGACATGTCCCACGTGCACAACATGTGCCCACAACACCTGTCGACCCCACGCGCTGCACGCCGTCCCATCCGTCCATCCCCTCCCTCATTTTATTTTCATAAAATAAAATAATTAATTGATTTTATTTTGTTTTCTTAAAGAAAAAGAAAAACCGCAAATCCACGTGCGACAAGGCGAAAACCAACATCTTTTTTGTCCTACGTGGCTCGAGATCGCGTATTATTCTATTCTTTTCACGTGCACCGCCGCCCAATAAAAAATATAAAATTATTAAAAATGATATTAAAATGAAATAAAATAAAATAAAGTAGGTAATGCACGACCGCCCACGAACCGGACACGTACACACGTAACCCCACATTTGGTTCCCACTACTTCCTCTCTCTGATCTCTAAATTCATGGCAGCACAACCGTCGGCGTTGACTATTATTCAACTTCTTCTGACAACTGATCAGAACCTACCTCGGTTTCAGCTCCTGTGCGCGTGTGAAACCTCTTGTGGGCCATCTCACAATGGGTGAAAAAAAAAATGTCTACAAAGAAAAAAAAGTTCTTGGGGGGTTTGTTTTGAGGAAACTGACTGTCACCCAAGTTTCCTCACAGTTGGACTTGGATGAAGGTTGAGGGTAAGTGTGACAATTCGTGTTCGTGTCAATCTGTTTATCAATCATATTAAAAAATATTAATTTAAGCACAATATGTTTATTAAACGTGTCAAAAATGTCAACTCAAACACGGTTTATTTATTAATTATGTTAATTATGTCAACTCGTATAACTCATTTAAATTAATATATTGAATAAATAACTGATATAATAATGACTTATTTAATACAGTGAATACATGTTTAACATATTTATTGGTTAATTTATCTTTTTTTTAAGAAAAATTAATGAATTTTACCTACAAATATTAAAATTCACATTATTTGTATTTAATATGCTATATAAATTTTCATGTTATATCACATATCAGTAAATTGCATATGACACATATAGTTAATCGTATTAATTCGTGTCACTTCGTATTACGAGGTCAACCTTAACCCAACCCATTATTAATCGTGTTAATCAGGTCAACTTGATTATGACCCAAACTCAGATATAGTAAACTCAGACCCGCTAACTTTGTCCCGGTTTCGAGTCGTGTCGTTATTCAGATTGCTAACTCTAGTTGAAGGAGACTAGAAGCCAAGGATGGTGCTTCACACGTGAAATTAATTGAGGACATTGTTTACCAAATTTTGTGTGATGTTTTAATTTTAATTTTCTATTTTAGAAAGAAACAGACAATAAAAAAAAAGACTCAATCACCATAGAAGGGTCATAATTAGATTAATAATAAGCTTTTGTACAAGTTGTAATACATTGCATGGATTTGATTATGAAGATATACATTTTATTCCATAAGGTTTAATATTATATTGCCATATTTTCTCACTATATATAATATTACTACATGATGCACTATTATAGTAACAAAATGACGTATAGTTGATTGTGACCATTTTTTCTTATTGTATGATACCATTTCTTTGTAATTTACGTGAAAACGGTGCTAACCAATGAAATGATGCATAACTTGGTTGCGAAAATTTTTAATTACATAGTTTCACTTAAAATAAAAGTTGACAAACTCATTTGCTTTATTAACTTATGAATAATGTGGTGATTCTAATTTATCGGCCAGTGAATTTAACATTTTTAAATGTGGAAAAATTTGTTGGTTTAGAGGGGAAAGAAAGATAGTTGTGGGGAAATTTGTTAAAAGGAATCTAATAAAATATAAATGTTTTATTTTATTTTATTTTTTATTAGAATACAAAACATTTTGATATTTCCCAATTTCTTAAAAGTTTTAAGGGTCAAGTTGTCACTATTAGATAGAATTATAACAAAACAAACCATTTGAATAAATAAATAAACAAATGAAACAAAAAAAAAATCTCCAGCGCTTTATAAAAATTAGCCATTGTAGAAATTCCATCTCCTCCCTCCCCCATCCACTCCTCACTCCATGAATTTGCTATCCCCTCAAATTCTTTTTCCATACTGACGAAAATGAAATTTGACAACATTCTACGACAAAAAAAATAAATAATAATAAGAAGAAAAAAATTTGGGTACATTTAGTGTACTGATAAATCAATTTTTTTAACCGTTAATTTAACTTATTTTTTAATTTGATGTGATTTTATATAAATCTAATAATTAAAAATTTTAATCTATTAATATGTTAACGTTGTCTCCAAAAATAATAATAACAGCTGCTGTGACCAAATAGAATTCAAAGGAGCCCGTGACGTTAGATTGATCCCACGGCCACGAGTACAAAAGAACCTTCGTGGAACCACGTTCCCTGGCCATGACCATATTATCTCTCTCTCTCTCCATGCCCATCTCCTATATATGCAAACTAAAGTCTCCTACTCTCCTTACATTCTATACAAACAATAAAGTTTCATTTTTTTTTTTCTCTGAAACAAAAAAGATTCATATACCAAAAAGAGATTGAATTTCGGCAAAAATGGGTTGGTCAGAATCACTCCAAGGATGCAAGAAACACCCGGCTCTCAATCGGTCACCGGGCGTCTGCTCTTCATGTCTCAGAGAAAGACTCTCTCAGCTCTCCGACGACTCCAACAAGAGAAAAACGACAACAATCCGCATCGGCAGCGCTTATTATAAGAATAGTGATAACGATAATTACTTCTTCTCTCCTTCTCATTCCTCCTCCGGCGACGGCGCGTCGCCGGCGCGTAGGCACCGCCGCCACGCGTCGGATGCGATTACTTTCCTCTTCAGCGGAGGCGGCGGCGGCGGCGGAGGGTTGAAGAAGAGCAGGTCGATTGCGGTGGTGCCGAGGAGTGCAAGTCATCGGTTTGGAGAGGTTGTGAAGAAGAGTATTAATAATATGAATATTAATTTTAATAGTAATGGGAAAAAGAAAGGTGGGTTTTGGTCAAAATTGATTAATGGAGCCACCGGGAAGAGGAAGAGCAACGAGGTTGTTGTGAAGTATTCCAAGCAGACTTTGGAATCTAGAGTTTGAAGGGTTTTTTTTTTTTTTTTTTTTTTTTGTTAATATGGTTTTCTTGGTCATTATATATCATTACTGTATATTTTGGTTGATTAGCAGAAACAATATGGAATTTTGAATGAAAAAGAATATTATATTTGCAAATTCTGGACCATTTTGGTTTTGCAAATTATGGGTGTGTAGGGAATTCTCTTCTTTACCCTTCTTGAACGGTCAGTCATTGTTGAATTTTGTGAGATATTTTTGTTCTTAGATTATAACTACGAGATTAATCCATTAACTCGGTCAAGGTGAAAAAGAAGGGAAAAAAGAGTTTTTTTTTTTTTTTTTTTTTTGAGAAGGGAAAAAAACGTCTAAGCCCTTGAAGCGAGGTTGAGTTGTGGTTGGATCACTATGCATTATATTTTGCTTTCAAGAGTTTGGAGTTGCTAATTTCCTACAAAATGTTACGTAATTGGTGGGAAATTAGGTACTTAGCTTGACTTGGAAAGAGTCGTGTGCCCCTTGGCCACGCAACACTTTTTCTTTTTTGATTTTAGTGTTGTTCACGTATGAATTTAGTTGTTGGGTTTTTGTCTAACAAAATGTTAAGAATATATATTGACTCGATTTATAATGCTATGTATATTGGAAAGAGATTCTCTATAATTTGACCAAGAAATGAATTATATTCAACGAAAAATTTGTCACATTTATGGTATACATTGAATGATGGTATTTTTTATTTCTTTGTACTTTTATTTTTTTGAGGAAATGATTTTTTATTTTCTTTTTATGGAGATTGGAGGGAATGATTGTACTTATGACATCAGAAATGGATAAGCAATAGCAGGCTAAAAGCCTGAAATAACTTTAGCGAAAGGAAAAAAATAAGGGATTTTTAATTATTATTGATTATTAAATCTGTATTAAAATTAATTAGATTGAAATATAATATAGATTTAATGGTTGTATTCTCTGTTGATCAATCGTTAACCTTCATGTCTATATTTAATTTTATTAAAAGTAAAATTAAATTGAAAAAATAATACTCATTTGACGACGGATAAACAAAGAATACTGATATTTCAAAAAAAAAAAAAACACAAGAGAAATTTCCAAAAAAATAAAGCTATGCCTTTTGGTTGTTTTGTACTCATATTTTTGAAGTCCTACTAATTGATTAGACTTTGCAGATGATTTTTTAATGATTCTCTAGATTAAACATTAATCTTCAAAGATTAAAGACTTTCACTACCTTTGAACTTTAAATGTTTGGCGAATTTTGTAAAGCGACTTTCTTATTCATTGCCCGAAAGTTGTTGTGATTGTGCCTTCTAATGTGCCCTTGTTTTAATTTATTGAAAATAAAGTGTGCCTAATCTTTTTGTCCTTACTTTTTGTTCTTTGTATACTCGTTTATTATGATTATGACAACCATTATTTATCGTAACTTACAAAATGGTCCAAATTAATCAAATAAAAAAAAAACATAATCCTTGTTGTTGTTGTTAGTGTCAGTGGCAGAATTTTGTTTTAAGGGGACATAAACTGAGAATATAAAACATATTATAGACACTAATAACATCAACACCTATTATTATTAATCAGTTAAAATTATGTGTGCGTTTGAAATTCGTTCTAAAATGATTTTATTTTTTGTATGAAAATGAAAATGAAAACGTTTTCATTTTTATTTTGAAATTATTTTTAAAAATGTATTTGATAGTTTTATTCTGAGATTGATTTTAGTTTAAAAAAAATTAAAATTATATTTGGTGTTTTAATTCTAAAAACATGTAATAATATTTAAAATTAAAATATATTAAATATATAATAATATTAAATATATTAAATATTTTTCACTTTAAATTCATCCTACTTTTCACTCCCCAGATTCAACCTTTTTACACATCTCTCTCTCTCTCTCTCTCTCTCTCTCTAAATCTGCAAAACAAAAACATTCCCTATCAAATCCTTCGCCATTACTGCAAACTCCCTTCTCTCTCTCCCTCTCTCTCACAAACTGGGGAGTCCAGGCTACTAACTACAATACAATGCCCACCACATTATCGTGGCTCCTGTCGTTTTTAGTCTTATTGTCCTTCGAATCCATTGTCGTTTCCCCTTCTCCTCGACGAAGGATCCTCCACCAGCCATACGTCCCCCTCGATTCCCTCCCTCCCTCGGAACCTCCATTGTCGCCTCCCAACCCTAACCCTAACCCCAAAAACGTTTACAGAAAAAATGAAAAGGAACGAAGGGAGGGCAGTCGGAGAAGAGAGAGAAGAACGAAGGGTGAAAATGAAAACGGATTTAAACCCTTTTTAAAAAAAAAAAAAAAAAAAAAAAAAAAAGCGAGTTTTTGGGAAAAATCCAAAAACGTTTTTGTTTTCCGTTTTGGCACGGATTTTTCCCAAACGTGTTTTCTTTTCTCGTTTCAATTTTTTTTTCAAAAAATGTGAAAAACGTTTTTAAAAATGAAAACAAACGGGCCTATGTTTTACACTAATCAGTTTATTGAGTTTTTTGATACATGAGTTAAAATTTTAAAGAGTTTAATTTTTTTAAAAATTTTGAAAAAAAGTGTTCATTACTTCAACAAGGGCAAATTAGACAAAACATATTATATAAAAATAATAATTGAGAGGGTTGCTTGAAAAAATGCTTTATTAGGGATACATTTGGGAAACGTAATTTTAAAGGGTAATTTAAATATTTATTGTGAGACTCACTTTTGATATATATATATATATATAATAAAAATTATATGAAAAAATATATTAGAAGGAATAAATTAAAAAAATAGTTTTAACTAGTGTAAATTAAAAAAAAATAATTCAAATAGATCACACCAAAAAATATAAGATCCAACATGAAAAGCTCAAAAGAACAATCAGGAAAAACCAAAAAGTAGGAAAAAAATATTTAAATTAGATTTAGTGGAGATATTATGAAATTTTTGTTGATGAATGGGGTATATTTGAAAAAAAAAAAAAAAAAAAAAAAAAACTTGAAAATCTATGACGTGAAAATTCAAAAACCAAAATTCAAGGAAGGGGCATAAGGTGAAAAAACTTGAAAATTATCTCCCTCCGCCTCTGGTTGGTGTTGTTTGTTTTAGTATTTTCGTTCTTGCTTTTGCTTTTGGCAATTTAGTTCTTAATTTTAGAAAATCGCAACAATTAACTCTAATTATTAACGAGTTAAAGTCTGGGTGAAAAATTTTTCAAAGCAATGTGCCGCTTGAACTTCTCGTACGCTTTTGACCTTTAAAATTTATTATTATAATTTGGAATTCAACCCCCAAATCAGCCATATATAATTTCTCAAAATTAACCCCGTTTAAAACAGGAGTTGATTGCTGCTCTCTTGGAAAGTTAAGAACTGACAAGACAAAGAAGTTAAAATGACGTTATCAGATATCGTTCATTTCACCGATTCGAATTTTTAGTTTTAAGTATCTACAGTAAAAAATTTTTAGAAAATATCACATTTAATTTTTTTCTGCTACAGTAAAAAGTTCTTAGAAAATATCACATCTCAACTCGAATTAAAAACTCGAATCTGCGAAGTAAACAAGGATCATGAAAGATTCATGGGTGTACACAAGTGTTAAAAAACAAAAGCCAAGTATCATCCATATTGACAAAACATCGGTCTAATATAATAATAGCCAATATCAAGTATGAACTAAATTCACTCTTGAATTTATTAGATAGGTTTATTCGTCTTCTTTCCCAAGCAAGAACAAAAAAGAAAAAGCAAAAAGGTTTCTGATGGCTTTAACAAATAAAAACAGCTCCTCAGCGAGTTTAAAATTGGGTGCGAAAAATCTAGATAGACATCGTGTCAAAAAGTTCAAATGAGTTAAAAATGGCCTCAAAAAATTTTCAAGTGCTACAAAAGTTCAGATTGATTTTCTTAAATCAATTAAAAGGAGCACTTTTTGGTAGGGTGTGAAAATAGAACATAGTTTTTAACTACTGTAGGATACAGTTGTTAATTCTTAAATTTGCATCAAGTTACTGTATCAAAAAAAAGCTTTATCAAGTACGTTAAAATATCATGAAGCCGTGTGTGATTTATCAAGTCCCCTAACAGTTATGTTTTCGTACGCTACGTCGCTGACAAAGAATTTTCCAAAGAATTCTCAAAATAAACCTTCTGGTGGTAATTCAAAACAACGTTGTTCTGAAAAATGGCAAGAATATTAGTTTGTTCAATCGAAGATCAAATACCACATTTTGTTTTTTTTTAAAGAGAAAACTCAAATTGCTTAACTATAAATTCAAGACGAAGTGACATGGTTTTGGTGTAATTCAAATTAAATCGCATGTACTTAGAATACAGGATAAATGCATCTGTGATCAAATGTTACAAGTTCTAAAGATACGCAGCGGGGGAAGTAAAGCACCAAAACATACTGGTTTAAGGATAAAAATCAAATTACAAAATTCCCCAATTCGAATCATCCCTCTATATTCTTTTCCTTATATTATACATCAGACGTATTTCTACTTCGGTCAATATTGTCTCTCTAACTAGCTGCTGGCAAACGTGCGTGGTTTTCGACCTTCTCCCGGGACCTAATAACGTGGTATGGTATCAGTCGTCACTCCAGACCTGTACATTTTTTTGGGGTTCAAATTCAGATTTCTGTTGGTGATAAAATCATTTCCTCTTTATTGAAATGTTGAATATCATCCAGAAGAGCCAGAATTCTTAATCTCCATCCCACTTTCATCCTCATCGCTGTAACTCTCATGATCTGCAGACGGCCGTTTCAATCTCTGGAATATCTCATCCAGCGACTCGGAAGAGGAAACACGGGAGATGAGTTTAGTCTCCTGAATTTGGCGCAAGGGGAGAAACTTTTTGTTCCCCAAATTTGCCTTGAAACTTTGAAAACCGGATTTCATAGATGCAAACTTCGAGGCCAAACCAGAAGATGGCCCTACCGCTGGATTACTAGGCTGAGACTCGCCTGCATCAAGCAGTGAGACCTTGGCAGAAGCAATACTCTGCTCCACCGGCTTCTTTGTATTAATTGATGCTTGTTTGCTTTGTTCTTTAATGGCTGCGTACTTGTTGCTAATGGCTTCTCTGTGAGAGCCGTATTTACGAGTTTCATCTTTTGATGATTTAGAAGGACTTCCTTTTACCCCATCATTGATAAGAGTAGTTGTTGCCTTCATTTCAACAGCAGTCCTACCCTGAACATTTCATCTCAAGTTAAAAAGCAAACTACTGTAGAATGACACATTTTTTACAAACAGAAACTGTTAGTTTACCAATCCATCCCAAAAGCTTAAGCTATTAGGAGGTGAGCCAACAATAGTTTTATACTTTAACAGGAACTGTTAATATTTTATGGATCATCGTTGTTAATATTTTATAGATCATCGTTCAGATATTATGTCATATGTCCAGAAAAATGACATATTAGAGTGGCATGAGACACATAATAGAGATATCTAAACCAACTACTGTAAATAAGTTACACATGAGTAATTTACATACCGTGCCATTGCTGCCAGACTCGATATCTGTGTTGTTGAAATTCCTTGCCAATGGAATAACATGCTCACCAACTTTGCTGCCTTGTTCAAGCCAAGATCTTTCTGAGAAAATATAAGATAACACCACATTTATTTTTTCATAGGGGTCCAAGCCATGTGGAATGGCAGTTTATGGATATTAAAGGAACTAAGATATGATATCACATACCTTTTTGTAGGATAATTAATCCAGAAGGGTCAAAACCATCCATATCATCTACCTCCGTTTGGAATCTGAATCTCTTCAAGCTTCCAAAAAAGTTAACTACACGGTCAAAGAAATTGCTAGCAACCAACAGCGTGTATATAACCATAATAAGTGGATATATTCTGTTAAACCCGCTCCCAAAGAAGGGGACAGCTTGATCAATATTCCCCATTCGCTGCAGTCAATTTCACAATCAATGATATAGTAGTCAATTATAAATGGGGGAGGGAAATTAATTCAAAACTAACGGTTATAGTAGTCAAGTGACTCTAGAACAGTGAAATAAATATTTACAGGCATAAGGCTTTGATTGGGAAAGGATATTGGGGGAATCCAACAGGTTGCTGACTTGAAATTCACAAGAGAAGTAGGACGTTTCTTTAACCCTTTTGCTTCTAAATGAAAAAACTATCTCACCATAAATAGGAAGAAATCTGAACACTTTCGAGTCATTAGGGGAAAAAAAAAAGTTTGTACTCCAACCGATGAAAATCAAATAACACTTGCCTGAAGACCATTTTCATAAATCAATACGTGAACCTTCAAAGTTCAAAGGCTTGTGTTGATTGAAAAAAAAAAAAAAATACACACATATATATAGATATATATGCTTATAGATATAAGAGAGTTGCAATGATTTCTTCTGCTGAACTACAGCCATGACCAACAACATTCAATTCTTCATTTCTATAGTTAACTTTTCTAGTTTTACCACGAAGGTTTCACGTACATGAAGAGGACATGCTGAAAAGGAAAAACAAGGGAACAAATTCTGCCTCTTCTCTGACAAAAGGACATTATAACTAAATTCATAACAACATCCAACACTTCAAGTATCTTATATTTCCTCAGCGCGACCCAAAAAAAAAGGTACAACCAGGTCAGTTTCTGGAATGCAAAGAAAAGTATATGAAAAAGAATTGAGGAAGATTACCTTCTCAAATATAGTTTTTCTAATTGTATCAAGACGAATGAGATTGAGAAAGTTGTATGAAATTGGAGGAGCATACCGAGCAACCATACTGGTGCAAAGAAAAAAATGAAATTCAAGCACTGTTTGATGAAAGACAAGTTATACAATCTTCAACTCATTACAATAGAGTTATGAGCAAAAACTTACGAGCATATCATGAGCAAGTTGACTGAGCTTGTTTGCCTTGGTGTTAGTGAGTAGAACATCAACATCCCAATTTTGAACAAGGAATAGTATGTGCAGATGCACATGTACATCAGAGGAACAAAAGCAAATATCTGAGGAAAAGCAGAACGAATCAATTCAAATCGTGTGGGGTAAATCGAAGAAACAGAAGTAACAACCATTAACAGACATTTACAGCAGAACTATTCAGATCATATTAGGAGGAAAAAAGCTATTAAATGTGTCGCAGTAACTATAACGCACCTGTACAAGAACTTCTTGCCCTTTAACAGAATTTATGAGGATTGAAAAAAGAGATAAATCTAATCTTGGAAGTAGGGTTGCCTCTGCTAAAAGAATGGCAGCTGACATGATACCAAGAATGATAGCCAAAACTTTTTGAACTTGCTTGTTTAGTATGCAGCGCCAAAGAAATTCTGCAAAACAAAACTAACTTTTAGAAAGTGTCAGATAATTCATTGTTCATAAGATCGAGCTACTAAATAAAATTGTGTAATCAAAACAAAAGTAAGAAGTCACAAAGTTAGGACCCAGGAAAACATCGATTATCTGATTACTTACCCAAGGAATCAATAAAAGAGCCCAATTTTCCAGTCCGAGTAGGTCTTAAGCTTGAAACATATTTCCTGAACACAGATATATGCACCATTTTAGATCAAGGAAAAACAACATATGGAAACTAGAAAAAGAACAGGGATGTATATTAGAGCACACCATCCAGTCGAACTACGTCGTTCATAGTTTTTTATAGTGTCTTCCAGTTCAAGGGCCTCCATGACATAAGTCATATACTCGCTGCAAAAAAGATAGAAATAATGAAGCTAACAACCACAAGTACAGAGTCAGTTGAAGAATTCTTTTTTCCTTGTGAGGGTAACATGAAATCTGAAAATAGCACAGACAGTATGACATTGACAAATCATACTAAGAAAGATACCAGCCACGCTCTGCAATTATCATTACAAATTAACAAGAAGGTGCACCAATACAAACTTGTCAACCAAGAACAATTAAGCTGACATTGTTCGAAAAGGCATGCCTCAGTTTCTGAACAGAGGCCAAAGCCCCCATATTGTGCAACTAATGCTATATTAGGTAGAGCGGAAAAGTGGAAGGAAGAAATTATAGGAAAAACAAAGGCTTTGATCAACTCAGGAGCACACTTTCAGGCATGTTTCCACCTTGAGGGATGACACCTAGGCCCAAAACAACTCAAAAATTCTCCTAAAAGCATTTGCGCCTTGAGCTGTGAGCCTAAGCCCAGTAAAGACCAAAAATTCATTTATAAAAGCCAATTCTTCGGCTTTTAAAGTCTAAGACCCCTGCTGTCAACTCTAGATGAACTAAGATTATGCTTTGACTCTATACCTCGTTTTCTTAAAAGACCATGTTTGTTTTTCCCTCTAGATGAACTAAGGTTATGTCTTAATTGTTTGTGACATATTTATGAACTTTCTATATGTTTTATAATTTTTAAAGTTTTTAAATTAATCCGATGGGACACCTTGCATCAATTAGGAAAAACGCTTCAGTTCCTAAAATAGCCATGTTACATCTTGCTTACCCCTTTTTCTTCTTTAACCTGATATGTAACAAATTAAGTCTAGAACCCAATTTCTAAAAAAATTCAGTACAGCGAGAACAATAGCAATACTATTATTATGACATTAGTACATAATGAAACTATGAAAACAATATGAGGAAGACACTTAGATATGGAATTTCCAAGACAGCTATGATGTGCATATTTAGATTTCTATTCGCAATTAGCTTTTGACTATCAAACAGTATGAACAATACATTTTGTTTCCCTTTTAATTGAGTTATAAATGGGTAGAGTTGTTGCGGTAATTCCTATAAGAAATAACTCCATCAGAAGTATTGTTTTGTTGAATAATAATAATAATAATAAAATGATGATGATGATGATAAAATAATTATGGTTATGTACATTCTGCCAAAGGCAGGTCAAGGGCTTCCCCTACCAAGAAAATTGATGGAAAGAGGGGATGTTTTGCATGCAGACTTTTGGATGAGAACTAAAGAGGTAAACCAAACAACGTGGAGTCATAATTTTCCCAAGAATGATAGAAAAAAATTGGAAGGCACTATAAAACCTAAACAGATGTTCTTATATTCCAGACTACTTTCACAGAAGGTATCTCAGTAAAGATGATAAGGAGATGTATACATTTTAGGGTTAAATATCAACGTAGAAGGGGAAAGAAAATGCAAGAGAATTACAATTCAATTTGGAGTTAAACTGCCTTTTATGTTGGCATAGTTTTAGGCTTTCAGCTAACGACTGCCTTTTATGTTTTCACTTTGGAGTTGAACTGTTTTGTAGTGAGGAATTTTTGTTTGTTCGCAGCTATCTTAATTTCAGATTTTTGGATGCGTTAATTAAACAAAACATTTTGATTATAGAAAAAAATTCCAATTCAATAAAAGAAATGCATTGTGCATCCACACTGTAGAAGTTCAATTAAAAAATCAGCTAACCTTTTGTAACGATAATACTCTTCTCGAGCTCCACGAAGATGACGCCTCAGTGTTGCCATCGATTTCTCATCAGTGTCATAGTCCATATCATTTTCTCCGAGTCGGCCACCTTGTGGTTTGAAGGAAGGGTCTTCCCTGAACTGGGAAGGATCATATTCAACATGTTTTAAAGAAAACCTTAATGGAACTATGAAACAAAACTAAACAAAACTGAATAAATACCATTTGAGTTAACATGTTATCAATAACATCCATGTAGGGCCTCAAAGGATCACGCTTTGACATTTGATTGGATGTTGCTTGAGCGACCTATTGAAGAACCATCATAAAGATTTAAGGAAATGGATACTACAGAAATTATATTATATAATATGTCATGAAACGGCACTAACAATTTTATCCTTCGTATATAAAGAAGAACATATCAAGTTATCAATAATTGTTTAGTTCCTCTGACTGAACTTTTTCGCAAAAGAATATAATAATTTGGTAAATTTTATCAGAGAACGGGTACAGCACTCTGAACATGAGAGGGCTGTAGATATCTCACGCAGATTGTATCTTTTCCATGGCTATATAAGCAATCTATATTCACTATATACAACAACTAAAGAAATACATACAAAATGCTCCTGTTAGGATCCTAGCTCAGAAAATCAGCCAAACACCAATACCACACTCACACACACCAGAAACCTCAAGAAAATGAGAATAATTTGAGGGAATTTTATTAATCTAATCAGCCAAGAACACTAAATTACACTGAAACGTAAGGGATAGAACGGAGAATTCGAGTACTCCGGGAACTCCTAATTTAGTGGTATTCGAGAGACCACCGCTCTCCTTAATCTCAGTTTCTCAAAACTCTCCAAATCACAACATACCTCTAGTGAGCTACTGAGCCCTTTATTTATACTAATTCCTACTAACTATACCAGCCCACTAACCAAACAAGTTCCCAAGTCATTAACGGATCCCAACAGCTCCACATTTCAAAACTTAAATTTCATATGACCTCTCAGTTGACCAAAACATACTGCATTGCTCCCACTCCAAACGGACTTTTAAGTAAATGGGTATATGTACGGAAATAAGAAGACGGGAAAGCTGAAGACCTTACATCAAAGATCAACAAGCAGAAAAATAACACAATCAAAACCGCTCAGGAAACTTTACTGTAGCGTTGTGCATATATCTTACATGCTAATTATGGAAATAGAGATCACGATTCACGAAGAATCCGCACGCAGAACTTACATATTAACTTCACAAAGAAATGATGGGGGAAGGGAGGAAAAAAGAAGCAAACTGGAAAGGAAAGAACTTTTTGTAAATGATGGGGGAGAAAGAATACCACTATAGCATTTGAAAGTTCTTGATGGGCATCATCAAGCTTCACGGCCATTTTAGCAATTTTATGGGAAAGAACTTTCTGTCGAGTGGTCCAATCTGCATTTCTCCAAATGCTCTTGGGAATTTCACTCAAACTAAAGCCAAGAAGAAAAGCACCAGTGACAAGTCCAAAAGTATTTGAGCAGGCCATGGCAAAACCCAGAACACTTCCACTCCTGTTTATACACGTTAAGAAACATAAAGAAATGAGAAGAAAAACTCAATTAGCAAAGAAGCTGGCACATGAACATTAGAAAGGTGAGCTACAAACCAAGTCTTGTGCATCATAATTAGGAGAATAAGTCCAAAAAGGCCAATTGATCCGACAATTAGATAGAACACTAGATTAACATGTACACTAGTTTTCAATCTCTCTGTTACAGTGAAGTCTCCAGCATCCTCAAAACCCTGAATAAGGGGGACCACAGCCCTGCTTAGAAAAAAAGATTCAAATGTAAGAGAAAATGTGCACAATAAGCTGTTAGGTAAATTAAAACGTCTAGAAAGTAGAAACAATCATTTTCACCCACAAAAATAAGAGAATTCTTTCTATTCTCTGCCAAAAAAGAGAGTTCCTATTTTTTTTTTTTTTCCTTTTGGGATACATTGCTAGCTTCTCCCGGGATTCGAGCCTGGGATCTCTCCCTTAAACCCACCCCACCCTTACCAACTGGGCTAGCCCAGTTGGCAAAAGAGAGTTCCTATTATTAATTTAATGTCATCTTTTTGTTCTCGTAATTGAGAAAGTAAATATTAAACATTATGCCTTTTCATTTTCACAAATAATCTCTGCCTCAGCTGTTTTAATAATGATCTGAAAAAAGAATATAAATGCATTTTTTACAAGCCTGCTTAAACTACTGGCTTCAAAAAACTTAAGATATAATCTGTTATAGATTATTTAGAGAGAGAGAGAGATTGTTAGGCCACTGCATCCCAGAAAACATGAGCCTATGGACCGAATAATATGTATGATACAATAACCATATATGATCTGAACTTGTGAGAAAAAATTGATTAAGTTCTCAATAGTTTGGCATCTTGTGTTCGTAAATGGATAATGAGGGGGATAAAAGAAGTCCAAGTTCGCACTAGGCGTACCAAGTTAGTAAAAATGTACTCCAATACGACCAGCTCCAAAAGAAAGAGATGCCTCCATTCCACATCCCATGTGTCGTCTGTAAATGCAAATATGTAATAAAAGAATAAGCTATACAACTCAAAGTAAAGGAACCATAGGAAACACATGCCTAAATGAATCACTGCTTCTCTCTAAACATATGCTTCAAAATAAAAAAATTTCTTCAAATGCACTTCAGAAGAATTGAAAACAACACACTTCCAGGGAACAGTGAGGAGAAAATACACTAATACCAACTCAGGCCAACTAAAAAGGTGAAGAAATAAGTTTCTCACTATGATAATTGATAAGCAACAAACGAAATGTTACGGCCATAGAACGGTATTGATATGCCTAAATGGCTAAATCAACTTGATTTAAGTATGCAGAAGCAATAATGCTCAATTGCATGTTAAGACCCCCAATATAACCATTTTCTTTAGTTTGAATTTGAGAATTTCATACTAGTATGACATGTTAAATATGAGGATGCCAAAGGGTAAAGAAAGAATTGCTGGCACTAACTTTCTCTATATAGTGAGTCACAATGTTAATGAAAAAACAACATACGAATTTCATAAGACTAGCGAAATGATTCTTGTCAAAAATTTTGCAGAAAAGTGAAACTCACAAACATCTGCTTCCATTTCTCTCAGAAAAATGTTAACGCTACTCAATCTTGCCATAAAATTTGGAGTCTGTACGTGAAGAAAAAACTCCCTAATATCAATTCGATGCTACCATCAGATCAACACGCAAAATCCCAATCTCTAATATATCACAAGAAAAACCCTAAATTCAGCTTGAACTAGAGCAGCGCAATGAATTGTAGCTCATGATCGCCACCAAAAAAAAAAAAAAAAAAAGCAATCAGAAAAAAAATTAAACAAACCTTTGCAACTACAAACTCACAAACATCTGCTTCCATTTCTCTCAGAAAAATGTTAACGCTACTCAATCTTGCCATAAAATTTGGAGTCTGTACGTGAAGAAAAAACTCCCTAATATCAATTCGATGCTACCATCAGATCAACACGCAAAATCCCAATCTCTAATATATCACAAGAAAAACCCTAAATTCAGCTTGAACTAGAGCAGCGCAATGAATTGTAGCTCATGATCGCCACCAAAAAAAAAAAAAAAAAAACCGCAATCAGTAAATCAATTAAACAACCATTTGCAACTACGAAAATCAATTCCCATCACCGAAAATTACCCAAACACGCGAGATCCATAATCATCCAAAACCTAATTGATTTGGTAAGGAGGAACTTAATTCCGGATTCGCTATAGGAAATGCCGACCTAATTGTACAAAAAAAAAAAAACGTAAGAAATTGAAGGCGTACCGTCCAGATATCGGCAGGGACGAGGATGATGATGGAGAGGGAGCAGAACCAGGTGTATCCGACGGTGAGGAAGACGTAGCGAGGAACCTCAGGTCCGGCAAAGTACCTGAGAGTCAAAATCACCATTCCCACCGTCAACGGCAGCGAGATCAGGTAGAACACCCACATCTCTCTCTCTATCTCTCTCCCCTCTCTCCTCTCTCTTGCTTTCTCTCTCTAAAGGGGATCGTCGAAGGAGGTGATCGCGGCGAAATTCAGGAGCGCGACGCCACCACCAGCCGCAGTCACTTTCGGTTGAGGCTGCGTGTCATGCGGCCGCGCCTTTTTCAGGCGATTGGCGTACGTTGCGGTTCTATTTCTTTCCTACTGTCCTAATGGGCTCCCCTCCCCTGTCCCTCACCAAATTCTAACTTTTTTCCGAACACGTTTATACAAATGATCAACCTAAAGTCCCTTTCTTTATTTATTATTATTATAATATTATATTTTTAGGTTTTAGATTTCTTGCTGCTATGTTTGTCAGTTGTCACAGATGTATTAACAACTATTAATTATGTGTTTTTTATATTAATTTTGTAACATATTCTACATGTATTATCGTATATAAAGAATTTAGTGTTTATTAAATAATAAGAAATTTATAATTATTTAAAGATTTTTAAATTTATTTTAAAAAAGAATATGTGTATAGATAATAATAGACAAAAAAATAAGGATACATTTAAAAAAAATTATTTTAATTAACCAAAAAAAAAAAAGGAACACATGCAAAAAAAATACTCTCATAAGAATAAAGTGAGAAACGATATATTTTAAAAAAAAACACACAAAAAATTAAAAGATAAAAAATTCAAAAAATTTAATCTACACGTACACACTTAAAAGAGCCAAAGAGTTGGCTTCTATGATCATTTCTAATGCAAATGTTAATGTCAAATGTATATATTTAGCATCAAAAGTGTTATATTATATGTTATTTTTATTTTTACTCCAATGCATAACGTTATTTAAAATGTTAGATCTACTTCTTTCCATAATTATAAGCTTTAAAAGTTGTAAAAGTAAAATTTTATTTTAAAATAATTAAAAAAATAAAAGTTGTAATGATTACACGAAAAAGTAAGGGCTTGTTCTTTTGAGTGAAAAACTAAAAAAAATACAACTCGAGTTACAACTTTATTCGAGTTCATGTTCTTTTAAGTTTGAACTCAAATTTGAACTCAAGTTCGAACTCGAGTTCAAATTCGAGTTTGGGACTAAAACTCGAGTTCAAGTTTCCCCTTTAACCCGAGTTCAGAAACTCAAATTCAAATTAATGAACAGTATTTTTTTTATTCTTAAAAATGCTATAATTTTTTCGTTTTAATTCTGATTGAGATGATTTTTTTTCTATGTGTTGACAACGAAAAGACGAATAAAACCCCACCCATATACCATATTAAAATTTTCTATCAGTATTGAGTTTTTATTAAAATATTATCTAAATACAAATTCAAGTTTTGACTCACTCAAACACAAACTCAAAAAGATTCTTATCTCAAATCATAACTCAAATGTACACAACCAAATACAAACTCAAGTTATAACTTCAACTCAAATTATAACTCAAGAATTATACTCAAGTTAAACTCTAAAAGAACAAACCCTAAATATTTCAACCCATAATAATCAAATGCTAAATTTTTCATATGTTATATTTTGTGGGAAATTTACCACAAAGTATAACATATGGAAAATTTAGCACAGTAAATAGTATTACATTAGAGAGTGTTTTTTGCACTCAAATGCTAAATTTATAATTTAGCACGTCAATTATAGTATTGCATTAGAGATGCTCTAAGGAGGCTATGTGTTGGCTTTTATGGCGGCCACATATTAGCCTCCTCTTTCTTTCTTTTTTTAATTTTCTCTATTTTTCATTCTCTTTTTTCATTTTTAAACTTTTTATCTATCTAATAATACATAAAAGAGCGAAAGCTCCTTTCTATAGAGCTACCACGTGGCAGCTCCTCCACTTACTTTTTTTTTTAAAAACTTTTTTATGTTTATTTTTTATGAATTTTTTTATATTTTAATTTTTTATGTATGTCCCACACTTTACTCCTATGTAGGGCTGACAATCCGGGTAGAGACACGACGACACGACTCGAAACCCGCACAAAATTAGTGGCTCTGGGTTTACTATAAATGAGTTTGAATCATAATCGGGTTGATACAATTAATAAATGGGTTGAGTTAGGGTTGACCTCCTAACACGAACTGACACGAATTGACACGATTAACTATATGCGTCATATGCAATCTAATGACATGTGATACAATATGAAAGTTTATATGACATATTAAATAAAAATAATGTGAATTTTAATATTTGTAGGTAAAATTCATTTATTTTTCTTAAAGGCAAAGATAAATTGACCAATAAACATTTTAAACATGTCATGACAGTGTTAAATAAGTCATTATTATATTAGTTATTTATTTAATATATTAATTTAAATGAGTTATATAAGTTGACACGATTAACACGATTAATAAATGAGTCGTGTTTGAGTTGACATTTTTGGCACGTTTAATAAACAAGTCGTGTTTGGGTTGATGTTTTCTGACACGATTAATAAACGGGTTGACACGAACAGGACCTAATAACACGAACCCCTACTCCTATGAGAGTAATTTTTTCACATGTGTTTCGATTTTATTTTTGATTGGTTAATTTTATTTTTTCAAATATGTTCCTATTTAATTTTTTTGTGTGTCAATTGTGATCTTTACACATATTCTTTTTTAACTAAATTCAAAAATTCTTAAATAGTTATATAAATGAATTTTTCATTATTCCGTAAACAATAAACTCTTCAACTTTCTCCAACAAAACAATACCTATGGAGTACATTACAAAACTAGTAATAAAAAAAAAAAAAAAAAAAAAAAAAAAAAAAAAAAAACAAAGTTGTTACTCCTTCTTTTGCCTCAGGTCAACCTCTTATTTCTCTCTTTTATTTTTACTTTTTACATTTTCTTATTTCTAATATTTCTTTTGTTTATTTTTACTTTTTCTTATTTATATTCTTCTTTTGCTTTTGTCTTCAGAGTTCTTTTAATCTTTTGTCAAGTGCTCTTTTGTAATGTAATCTTCTTACAAAATATTTCTATAATTTTTTTCTCACTTTATTCTATTTAAAATAATTCATTTTATATATACCCATAACTAATTTACTATGTGATTTTTTTTTTTTTGCTTTTCAATATACTCTACTAAACACTTTTTCTTTTTTTTTATTAAACTCAATTATTAGGTAAGTAATAAATAAATACAACTAAATGTTATATTTTTCATATAAAAAATGTAAGGGATGTACACGCGAGGCACATGCCTACAATTAGTAATTAACAATGCATAAAAGAGTCAAAGGACTCTTCCGTAGAGCTGACACATGGCGGCCTCTCTTCCTCCTTTTCTTTTTTTTTTTCCTTTTTTTCCTTTCTTTACCTTGTATTTTTATTCTCTTTACCTTTTAATGTTTTCTTTTTTTTTATTATTTTTTGCTTTGTGATTTTTTTCACAGTTTAATTGTTTACATAAGTGTTTTAAAAATATTTTTTCTCCTTTTACACTTATGAAAGTAATAAGTTTTAAATGTGTTTTTATTTAATTTTTTTAATCAATGGCTAAAATAATGTTTTTGATGTGTTCATACTTAATTGTTTTTTGGATAATTCATGTTATATCAAAATTATCTTTAGAAATTTTTTAATAGTGCTCCCACAGAACACTTTTCAAGCTACCACGTGGTAACCCCCTCCTTTTTTATTTACTTTTTTATTTTTATTTTTCTACAACTATTCTGTTCTTTTTTTTTTAATTTTATGAATGTTTTTTTCCACTTTAATTTTTTTTTTTACATGTGCTTTGCTTTTTTTTTTCTTTTTTTCCAACTGCTCTTTTATAATCTAATCTTTTAACGACAATCTATACAACTAATTCAACATCTAACATTAAAAAAAAAATAGTTAAGTAGACTTGACTTCTAAGAAGGTCACGTGTTGACCTCTTTCTTCTTTTTTTGTCCTTTTTTTTAAACTTTTCATCATTTCCTCTTTTTCTTTTTTTTCAATTTTAAAATTTTTCTTATTTTCTTTCTTATTGATATTTTTATTTTTCCCCTAATATTCTTTGACAATTTTTTTTCTTTTACAATATATGTCTTTGAAATTTTTTCTTTCTTCTTAGTACCTTTTAATTAAAATAATTTTTTTCAAATATATTCCTACGTTTTTTTTTTTTTTTTTTCAAAAACTCCATATAACGTTAAAGCTTTTTTTTTTACTTTATTACCTCTTTTTATTTTTTTTAATCTTTTTCTTTTATTTTTTCTTCTTTTCTTTTGCTTATTGACTTTTTTTTTTCCTTTTAACATTCTGTGACCGTTACATTTTTTTTACAATATGCTTCTTTAAAATACTTTTTTTTCACTTTCTTTTAATTAAAATAATTCATTTTAATTATCTACATACTTAAGTTTTTTATTTTTGTCAAAAACTCTTAAATGACTTTATTTTTTTGTCAATATGATTTTTAAGATATATTTTTTTCTCTTACTCCAGTTAATGAACTTAAGTTCTTATGAGGCTATGTGTTTTGATATGGGATCAAACTTACTCTAACAATATATAAAGAGCTAAAACACTCTTCCCTAGAGCTGACACATGGCAACCTCTCTTCCTCCCTCTCTCTCCTTTTTTTTTTTTTTCCTTTCTTTACTTTGTATCTTTATTCTCTTTATCTTTTAAATGTTTTCCTTTTTATTTTTTGTTTCGTGAATTTTTTTCACAGTTTTAAAAATATTTTTTTCTCCCTTTACACTTATATAAAAGTAATTTGTTTTACATGTGTTTTTATTTAATTTTTTTCAATGGCTAAAATAATGTTTTAAATGTGTTCATACTTAATTATTTTTCGTATAACTCCTATTATATCAAAAGTTATCTTTACACATTTTTTAATAGTGCTCCCACATAGCACTTTTCAGACTGCCACATGATAATTCCCTTCTTTTTTATTTAATTTTTTATTTTTATTTTTCAATAACTATTTTGTTCTTTTTTTTATGAATGTTTTTTTACACTTTAATTATTTTTACATGTGCTTTGTTTTTTTTTTCCAACTTCTCTTTTTATAATCTAATCTTTTAACGACTATCTACACATCCAATTGAATCCCGAGGGATTCCTACAGTGTTGGGCGTGTGACACTTGTGATCTTCATCACATATGTGTTCCAAAATTCAAATTAAATACTCACATTATTTAATATCTAATTAATTCTCAATTAATTATTTTTGAGTGTCTTATTTAGAATTCTATAATTTTAAAATTCTCATTTTGTCATTAGTTTCTTGTAGAATTGC